GGACATTAATTCAAAAACGCTTTAACCAATATGCATGAAACTTTGGTGAATTGTTAATATCTATTGACGTGAGCTCCCTTTCGTTTTTTATAAATTTCAAATTTACCATTTCCGAGTTTTGGGGTTTTATTCATTAAAAAAGGGTGATTTTCCAGTTTTCGGACAATAACTGAAAGACGATTTCTCCAATTTGCATGAAACTTTTGTGAATTGTTCATATCTATTGACTTGAGCTCCCTTTCATTTTTTATAAATTTAGGATTTACCGTTTACGAGTTTTGGGGTTTTATTCATTAAAAAGGGGGGATTTTCAAGTTTTCGGACAATAACTCAAAACAAATTTCACCAATTTGCAAGAAACTTTGGTGAATTGTTTTTTTCTATCGACATGAGCTCCCTTTTGATTTTTATGAATTTCAGACTATACGTTACCGATTTATGGGCTTTTATTCATTACAAAAAGGGGAATTTTCAAGTTTTCGGACAATAACTCAAAAATGCTTTCAGCATTTTTTATGAAACTTTGGTAAATTGTTTATATCTATTTTTGTAAGCTCCCTTTTGATTTTTTTAAATTTTCGATTTTATGTTTCCGAGTTATAAGATTTTATTTGTTTATAGTCTGACAACAGATTTACTAAGTATTACGCAACAGCACAGTGTATTGCACAACAGAAAGTTATCTTTCATATAACCAATTTCAAGTTCTTTGACTACATTTATTCAGAAACCAATAATACTTGTATATCAAATATTTAATTACAATCCAAATTCAGACCTGTATCAAGCTTGAATATTGTGTCCGTTTTTGCCCCAACTGTTCAGGGTTGGACCTCTGCGGGCGTATCCAGCTGCGCTCAGCGAAGCAGTTTATTGCCTTTAAATGACAATTTTTGACTTATTTTCGTTTTTAACCTTTCATTTCATAATGATCAACAATAAAAGTTCTACTTAAATGCCAATTTGACCGATAAGCACTAGATGATTCCACATACGAGTTATTGCTCTTTAATGACATTTTTTGACTATTTTTTCTTTTTTTGTCTTACAAAACTATAATAGATATAGATAGAAACTGTAAATAGCAAAAATGATAAAGATATACAAGAGCTAAAAAATTTACCAATTACCGAAACTATTGGATGACTCCTTTAGGAGTTATTATCCTTAAATGACGATCTTTAACTAAAATTTTGTGTGTTTGCCTATATATTATCTAGAAAACTATAATAAATTGGTATAAACTGTAACAGAAAAATTATCCGCAATACAAGATCTACTGACAAAAATACCAATATGACAAAAACGGCCATAAGATGAATTATAGTTAATGCCCTTAAATGACGATTTTTTACTCATTTTCGTGTTATGGACAATTATCTCCAAAACTTTAATAGATGTGATAGTAAGCTATAAACAGCAAAAATGATCAGCTATACAAGATCTACAAAAATATGAAATAATAAAAAAAAAACAATGAATGACTTCTTACAAGAGTTAATGCCCCTATAAGATTTTTTTTTACTAATTTACTTGTTTTGACTAATATCTCATAAAATACAATTACAAAGGTTGAAACTGTAAACAGCAAAACGTGATCAGCAATACAAGATCTACAAAAATGCTAAATGACCGAACCATTGGATGACTTCTTATAGAAGTTATTGCCCCTATAATAATACTGTTGACCTTTTTTCTTGTTTTTGACTAATATCTCCAAAACTCTAATAGATAATAGAAACTAAATCATAACACAGAGTGTGCATGCCTAACAGGAGACGTTCATCCTTTCGAGGCAGTGGTCCCTCTTGGTTTCGAGTTCATGCGATTCCTTCTGGTTTCTTTTTCTATTGGTTTGTGTATGATAAATGTATTTTTGAGCTTTGAACATATGTTTGTCAAATATCCCGAATCAAAAAAAAGTTTTACTTACTTACTTAATATCCCAGTGATTTTGAGATAAGAATATTACCGAAAGAAGGTTTGCTTCATAACTAATCCTTGACACTGTAAAATTTGTTCTGGAACTAATTTTTTGGCCAAATGTGAAATAAGTTCCGGAACAAAAATCATAGCTCCATGAATTTTGTTTCAATTAATATTAAAAAGTTTTAAATAAGTTCCTGTGACATTAGTTTAAACGAACATGTGAATATTTCATAGAAACTAATGAATAAGTTCCGCTCAAACATTATTGCACACCGAAACATTTTCTTGTTACACTTAAATTATAATGCAAGCTAAATGCTGTACTGAGTGTACGTGCATGGGATACTTTGCAATTGAAGGCATGACTGTAACTATAGGATGAAGATAAGAAATAAAAGCGATGGTAAAGTATCATAATTTGTATTTATGTTTTATGCGGTATTCCTCCTTGTTTCCTGTTAACTGTCATGGCCCCGTGTTCTAGTCATACATGTACTTAGGACATGGCACAGTTTCAAAAGAGTGTGTCTTTTTTTCTACATGTCTTTTGATATATATAAATGATCAAGTCACTTTGTCCTTTTCAAGAGGGACGAAAGATACCAGAGGGACAGTCAAACTCATAGATCGAAAACAAACTGACAACGCCATGGCCAAAAATAAAAAGACAAACAGACAAATAATAGTACAGATGAAACAACATAGAAAACCAAAGACTAAGCAACATGAACTAGTACAATTTAGTACATATGTTCCTTTTAAACTATACTTTTTTTTCTGAATGATTTTTCTTATTCTAATCTTTTCTGGTTCAAAAGTGTCATTTAGATATTTTTTACAGAGTATATAATTAAACATTTGCTATACTCCATAGGATCCAAACTGGATGATTTACACTTTTTATCTATTTTATTATTAATATAATAATTATTTTTATAATGCACTTGAATGATAACTTTAAACTCACTGATGACAAATGCTCAGTATATCAGATAACTTGTTTAACCAGTGGAACATATTTCACAGACAAGGAACTTATTTCACCAGGTAAGGAACAAATCTCATAAACCCGGAACTTATTTCACTAGGTAAGGAACAAATTTCATCAACCCGGTACTTATTTCACCAGGTAAAGTGTGGAACTTATTTTATAGAGATGGAACAAATTATATAGAAATTACCTGTGAAAAAAGTTCTCCCAGAACATATTTCCTGTGAGATAAGTTCCACTGGAACTTTTTTCACAGGAACAAATTTTGGCTCACATATTCACATTTAAACAAAGTAACATATAAACAATGTCATTGACAAAACATTTGGTCTTTTGGAAGCCACTGTGACCTGGGGGAAAATACGTTTTCTTATTCGATTTGTAGACCTAGGTTCATGCAGAGACATATGTGTATATATGTCTATATGGTTCATTCTGGGACTATTATACTAACAGTATAATAGTCCCAGGTTCATTGGAGACAATTCCTGCTCGATTTTTTTTCTTTTTCAAACAACATTGATATTTTCTAGAACTTCAAGTTTCTTTCGTTCTTCAACTTTGAATAGGGAGTGCAATAATTTAGATAAGTTTGAATTGACAAACAAATTTTCATATGAAAGAATCCAAAAAAATAATTCATTTCATTTCATATTTACTACCAACGAAAACCATATTCAAATTAACCCGCTGCATTTTTATGCACCTGTCCTAAGTCAGGAGCCTGTTGTTCAGTGATCTTCAGTGGTTGTCGTTTGTTGGTGTGGTTTATAGGTGTTTCTCGTTTCTCGTTTTTTATATAGATTAAACCGTTGGTTTCCCTGTTTGAATTGTTTAACACTAGTCAATTTTGCGGCCCTTTATAGCTTGCTGTTCGGTGTGAGCCAAGGCTCCGTGTTGAAGACCGTACTTTGACCTATAATTGTTAACTTTTTATACATTGTGACTTGGATGGAGAGTTGTCTCATTGGCACTCATACCGGCCACATCTTCTTATTTATATCTCTTATTACAATGTTAAATTGCTAACCTCTGATAATAGGGAGCTACCATTTGATTTTTATGGGAGGGGGGGGGGGGGGTGGCTAGAATGAAATTTGAAAAAAATGATAGGCAGGACAGGAGTTTTGAGTAAAAAAAGGCAGGATGAGACACTGGCAAAAAAAAGTCAGGATGACAATTTAGGTAAAAAAAAATAGTCAGGATAAACTTAAAAAAAAAAGGCAGAACCGAATAGAGTGAAAAATAAAAAGGCAGGACAGAGATTACAAATTAAAAAAAAAATGGCAGAATAAAATTTTTCATCCTAGCCCCCCCCCCCCCCCCCCCCCCCATAAAAATGCAACGGATCGATAAACTTACATGGTCTTACATCGTATCTAAATTCATGGACTCTTAAAACAAAATCACCGTAAAAAAAATTAGGATGTGATATCACGTATTAAAGTGATATATACGTTACAGTTCTACAGGATTAAACCAAACTTCCAAACCAAATATCTGCATCTATAAAAGAATTTAGTGAAGGTTTTAAGTAATTTGTGCTAACGAAATCCTTGACTTTTAATCTATATTACAAAAATGTGTACATAAATACAAACCGTGTAGGTGGAAAGTGCCATTTCACCAATATCAGTGCAGTTGCTCGTTATTATTGTCACTAGTAAATTGTAGGTTCTTAGATGTATTAATGGTTATGCGCATTGATTTTAGCAGACGATGCACGTATTGCTAAAGATATATTTTCAGAAAAAATGAATTAAAATCTCAACTTTTAATTGTGTTTGTTAAGGAAAGATCATATAAAATAGTGTTTATCCGATGATCTTATCAGTTACACTTATTTGCGTGACCAGAAACGTTCACAATCGATGGCGCTTCCGCCAAAGATGTTTGTGAAGCAAAATATAGTGCAACAGATTAAAATATATTATATCAAATAATTGCCTTGTTTTAACTTTTTTTTAAATTTCGAAGCAGTTAATAAAATTGAAGACCAAAATAAATCAATTTATCATAATAAATTGTTTATGAAAGCAAAAGTAATTATTATTATGTACGAAACAGTGGTGACGTAAATTATTGGCAATCAGATAGAAACAGTGTGGCGAACGGTTCAACAGAGATGGGCGACTAAGACCCTTGACAGCTATTGATGTTTTACATCGTGTTATTAGATGTTTTGATTAATTTGCATTCATTATCAATTGTATTTCTGTAGGATTATACTTTCTTTCTAACCATGAATTTTGAAATACCAACAGGACTTACGGATCTTTTACAAGACTTCACTGTTGCTGTTTTAAAAGAGAGACCACCAAATTTAAAACAGTTTGCTGCTGATTATTTTGCAAAACTTAATGAACAGAACAATGAAGAAGATGGGGAAGACAAACCAAGGGGTGTTAGATTTGCTGGTTCGCCAAATCCTGAACCAATGCAGACTGAAGATGATGAGGATTCTGATGAACCAATGGGTAATTACAAATCCACATGATTATAAAAAATCAGAACCTTTAATTTACATTGTACTTAGTTTAGGATCATTTGTTTTTGGGGCTTGATAAACCTCATTTTAATGGGTCATCTCTGAGTGAATACACTTGAGGCTAGATGTGTTTGTCCCCTTACTACATGTACATGTATATATAGTATATATATATATATATATATATATTGGAAAATATTTTTAAGGTGCTGGGCTTTCAAGTCCTTCTAAAAAAAAATTAATAGACAACTGCAATTTCCTGCACATTTCCTACATGTATGTCACAATGCTTATGTCATTACTTCACATGATTTTTCAAAGATGTCATTTACGCAAAATGACATCTAGTCAACTGTTAAACTCATTGAAAAAGAACTTTCTATATGTGCCTGTCCCAAGTCCAGAGCCTATAGTTCAGTGATTGTCGTTGGTTCGTGTCTGTCATATTTGTTTTTCGTAAATTGTTTTGTTATAAATTAGGTCGTTAGTTTTCTCAATTGAATTGTTTCATATTTTCATGTTGGGGCCTTTTATAGCCGACCGTATATTATGGGTTTTATCATTGTTGAAGGCTGTACGTTTGCCTATAATTGCTTAAATCCACTTCATTTGAACTTTAGTGGATAGTTGTGTCATTGGCAATCATACCACATCTCCTTATATTTTATATGGAAATTGGTCTATGGTTTGCATGCTTTTTTAAAATGTGGCAGAGTAGAGAATTTTAGAAAACCAATAGTTAAGCTGTATTTTTATATCCGAAGTAATTAATGAATGCCAGACATCAAATTGTAAATAAAGATATTTTTTGTACATGTAACATCACTAACTTGTTCAGTGTTCCATGATCATGAACCCAGCTTTGAACTGTGCATGAATAAAGTACATGTAGATGGGGTATACACAATGTTCTAGCTACTGTTTGAAAATAAGCACTCTCTTTAGCCCTTCCACACTTGTATAAAAAGGGGCATTTACCATACATGTACAAATGTACTACACACACGTCTACAAAATCATTTTATGACATTACAAAGAACTATGATCATATCTTTTAAATATTCTAGAAAGATATGGTCATTGTCATTATACATGCTATATTGATATGAAAAAAAGTATGTGAATAACTTCATGCTTTGTTACTTGCATCTTTGAATAAATTTGTCTTGTGTCCTATGATCATCTTTTGCATTATCAGACATTTTTCCTTTACAAATTTAGGAAAGAGATCAGGTATTTCATTGAACATTGATTACTGTGTTTGTTTGTACTTCAGTACTTGGTTTCAATTATTTTGTTAATCTTTAATTATAATTTGTTTTAGGCAAAGTTCTAGAATAAATATGTGTGTTTACAGTACCTGGGCCGACCCTAACTTTTCTAAAAGAAAATTGTGCAAAGTATATTTATTTTCAAAGGTATTTTTATTGAGATGTTCTTGTTGTTTAACTGCTAGCTTGATATTGAAAATCGTCAACAAGTGTTGTGTAAAATCAAGTAAAAACATATCTGACTGACAAAAAACAATTTCCAAAAAATGGCCTCCATTGGCTTCAACCAGAAATTCAATACCTTATTAGATTCATGAATTGGATAAGGCTGTTTCCAGGTTTGCAGATCAAATAAAAAAAAAAAGAAAATGTTTTACTAAACTATCAATCCTATTTTTTTAGTAGATGGTAGTAAACACACATACATTGTATTTATCTTTGCCTTATAACAATCATACATTAGTTTGTTTATGCCGTAAGTTTTCTCATTTGATTTGTTTCATATTTTTCATGTCAGGCGTTTTATAGCCGACTATACGGTATGGGTTTTTCTCATTGTTGAAGGCCGTACAGTTGCCTATAATTGCTTACATCCACTTCATTTGAATTTTTGTGGATAGTTGTCTCATTGGCAATCATACCACATCTCCTTATGATTATTTTTATATACATAAAATTAAATCTTTAATAATCATCCAAATGTTTAATTTGTTATTGTTGAGATCGATGTAGAAGGGAGACATAGCGATCCTACATTCTGGCATTTGCAGTTTCAATATTTAGGTTCAGTCTATGTTTAAAGTTTATTCGGAAATCTATATTTTTATCAAACTTTCATTGAAATTTAGAAATCTTGGACAGAATCTTTTTTATGATCAAAAGTCTTATCCATTTCATAATAAAAATTTTGTATATATTTGTTTCATTTTTCTGTATTTTGCTAATAAAAGGACTTACATGTAGGGTTTTTTGACAGTTAACTTGAAGATAAAGTCTGGGGACAGAGATTTAAAAAAAACTTTTTCAAACCTTCATGGAACTTTTTGAAACTTTAGCAGAAACTTTTTATGGACATTTTGAATTTTTTGTTTGTTATCGATTAATGGACTTAGTTTTTGGCACTCTACATTGCACCTTTACCATGTTTACAGTGACAGCAGCAATTGCAGTCGAGATTTACAAATTTTTGTTCATTTTTTTCAAAATATTATATATTGTTTATTGTTATGAATTTAATGATTATTCTGCTCAGCAATGGGCATCATGATAGGCATAATATATCTTCTGTCCTTCATCTCATTTCATTGATCTTCAACGTTTTTAGTGAACTATCTTCTACCTTCTTCAGTTGAGGAAGTTTAAACAAACCACTGTTATTAGTTTTACTTTATTTATTTGCATACATATATACATGTATGCATAAAAAATTGAAATAATTTAAAGACCATTTATGAATAAATTTGCGTTCGATTTTCCATTATTTTCATTTTTATCCGTAAACATATTTTAAATTTCAATTTTTAGAATGAGGCTGGACAAGTGAAATAATTCAATATCTACATGTGTTGACCTACATGTATGCAAGTGTATCACCTCAGTCGGGGAACACTGGTTTAATTTTCAGTTAAATGTTTAGGAGTGACCTATAGTTGCTAACCTTCTACATGTACATGTAGGTCATTTGGTCTCTGATGGAGAGTTGTCTCGTTGGCAATCAAACCACATCTTATTATAGGACCTTAAATTATTTTTTTAAATTGACATCCAATTGGAGTCAAAATCATAAATTTATTGACGAAAAATCAATATGTCTACCATTTGTGGACCAATGCTTCAATGCACATAGATTTGTGAAGGTAGTAATAACTCTGATTAAAACCTACACATGTATTGTACATCGTCACAATTATATCAGGTACATGTATCTTTATTCAGCTTTGAAGACATCCAGTTAATGAATGATGGTTATGAGATTATAAAACATTGTTAAAACTCTTTTCTTACTTGAAAAAGGTGCAGAGGCACAACTTTTTTTTTTCATTTCCTCCTTGATGGGATACTGATTCATTATACCATTATAACTCAATGAGACAGCAACCCAAAGCAAAATAAATACTCTACATGTGTACCTTCAGATTATACTAAATTTAAGTGGCATATACATGTGTATAGTCAGTGATAGTCCTGAGCACTACATTTTGTACATGTCATTGCATGTAGGTGGATATATATATATATACTAGCAAGTACCAATTTTAAAGTTTTTGGTTAAATAACCTGGCCTTGACATCAAAGATAGAGTAGACACAGACTGAGCAAATTTCGATGGTCCTGTACAATATTTAAATGACCTCATTCCTTAATATCTGTCCTGATAACCAATGAAGTGCAGTTCTTCTGGAGACTAAAGTTTGTTTTATACTCCTGTTATAGGTGCAATACTGTAAATGTTGAAATCTTTACATATATATATATTACTGTGATTGTTGAACAATGGACAAAAAAACTAGAACAATTATGTCAATTTCAGGAAAGGCTGAATACAAATAATGTTATCAAAATTAAATATATTTACATGCAAGTTTTTGTTTTTGAAACCTATCCTGTCGCAATTTTAGCAGAACTTTATAAAAAGTTCACAACAAAAATTTCTGAATTTACAGTAATCGGCTATTTTTCACCTGTTTTTATGTGTGTCACCAATGACAAAAACAGGTCTAGTAACCTCTCCATCCTTTCTGTCATTATGTCTGTCCAGAAGACCTTAGTTTTCTTAGCTTCTGTTAAAGGGAATGATTTTATATTTGGTCTGCAGTTTGTTAATGTTGAGTTGTAGCATGTAAGCGATTCTTGCATCTGCAGTACTGCCGTTTCCTGTTTGTATTATTGGTAAACCTTAAAAGAGGTTTCAAAAGAATTACAAAGTTTTGTCATGCAATTCATTAAGGCTCAGCTGTTTCTGTAATTACCGGTATTGGTATACATGTATGTGTTATCTACTGTAGATTTAGGCTTTTTCTTATTTCATTATAAGGAACTTGATTACTTGATAGTTATAAAATATTGAGCTGTATTTACTGCAAGACATTGTCACATTGTCATATATATCATGTTTATGGATGACGGAAAAAACATATTGCTCATCAAGGATTGTATAGGGTTTCATTGTGAGTTATATTACATCAAAACTCATAGCAGACATTGAAGACAAATCATTAATGGAAAATATAATGGATTTCTTGTATCAAGGCACAGGAAAATACCAAGCCAAGACGTCAAAGATTTATTTCTTCTAAATAATATGGCATTTTGTACGGAATTCTCTCAAGTAAATGTTGTGAACAGTAATTTGATTTCCTGGAGCATCACTTTTGTGTAGTTCAATATACACTCTGTCACAGCAGTCTTCATTAAATAGCATTGATTAAGTCTGTCAATAATATACTTTTTTCTATGGAGTACTGTAAACAGCGGAGGAGAGGTGTTAGTGGTCACAGCACAGGTATTTGTCACCATTTTACTAATTGGCTCAATATCATCTCAGAATTAACAGCTATAGATTGTATTTCCTAAGTGTTCATTTATTTGTTTCTTGTTTTAAAAATTTTCAAAACATTTCTCAGTCAACATTGAGTAGTATTTAGCTGTGTAATTTGCTGCATGCATATATATATTTGAATGCTACATACATTTTTGTACATGACATATGAAAAGTAATCATACATGTACCACAACTCCTTATTTTGATATACATTTGTTTAATATATGTAATAGTTGCAATTTGGCTCATACAGAATGAGAAAGCATTGATAACTTGTTTCTGAGCTTACCAAAAGGGCTTATTTGCAGTGTCTACTGACAGTAACTCTCTGCATGCGCAGCAGCAGCAGTGTTCTCTAGGCAAATTTTATATATTATGGAGTGTTATCTGCATACAATAAAAAAAATTTATACTTTGTTGAATACTCAAATTCATTGTTTATTTACATTACATCCACGAATTTAATTGGTATCCCATGAATGATAATAAATCCACAGAAGAATCATGGTAAATAGAGAATTTCGAAATATCGTCTCATTTTTCATGTCTCAAGAATATGAACATGATGAAGCATGGCATACTGGTCATTCATGTACAAAGTCTAAGAAAATCATTTCAAGCATCATATTTAAACAATATCATGAATATAGCATCATATTTACCATGATGCTATCAGGCCCTTAGGAAAACACTGCATAGAGATCATTTTTATTTGTCCTTGGGTAGTTTTACCTCCTGTAATGTTGATTGCCTAAGCTTCTTATAATTCCTTAACTAATATTGAGATAGCAGTTATATATATGTTATGCCAATGGCAAAGACTCATGTGCGAATCTTTTTATAATGTTCATGTACAGTATCTGATTTAATGCAAGTGGTCATTAAACAAATTAATTTATATTTCTTGTCAACCGATGTTAAAAGCATAAGCAACTTTTACTTATTTGGAAAAAACACCAAATTTTCATGTTTCAAGAAAAAGGTAATCAAATCTGAAAGTTATGCAGTTTTTCTCTTTTGTTTAAACAACATTATTTTCATTTTACCTGTAAAATTAGATTTTATTACACTTTCTTAATTTTGTAATGTCATTGGGTTGCTGTCTCATTGTCGTATACCCCACATCTCCTTTTGTTCATACCTATATAGTCTCTATACAAGTATGTACATCTGGAAACAGTTGAATTTAGTGACAGCCTGTGGTCTACTTACAACCCAATAAAAGGAAAATAACTGATATAAACTTCCTTTATAGTATTATTATTCATTGACAAATGATTGAGATTTAGTTTAAATAATAACCACAATTTTATCTCGGGTCACAAAATGTTAGTTTTATAAAGATTCTAAGCATTGTTCATATAGAAGTTATAACACTACATAAACATGCATACATTGTATCACACTAAAACTTTTTGAAGTTGTAAATAGGTTTGTCTTAATGGGATCAAACTAAAAGTTACTGACTGCTTTTTATTTAATTAATCGTCATATAATTTATTTTTATTTTTAGTAAAGCATCGAAATGAAATATTTTTAAAAGTCATTCTTCTAATGCATATAATGTTTTTTTTTCCAGAACCACCAACCAGAGGGTTTACAAGAAGACAATCTGGTAAGGTTTAAGTATAATCTGTAAACATATATATCATGTATATGTGGATTGTTTATTGGAATTAAAATACAGTGAAATGGGATTAATATTTAATTCACTTTTTATAAAGACATGATCATTGCAAGTATGAGTTTATATTGATTAAACTTGAACTCACGATTTCTGATCTGAAAAAAAGTTGGGTTAATTTTCCAATCAACAAACCAGATTGTGCTGAATAGAACCCTATTGATTGTGATAGGACTGTGCTTCTGTTCATTTCAGATGTACAACAGTTTAAGTGTAATAACATAACTGGCAGACCTATTTTATTTAAAGATTTTAACTGTATGACAGTAGAAAATGTTGTGCCTCTTTTACTTAGCATTTCTTTAGGTTTATATTACAACAGCTTTGCTCTAATAATTTTAGAGCTTTAAATGATTCCATGAAAAATTTCATTGTCACAAAACTAATAAAAAATGCACAGCTTTCTTTTCAACATGTTTAAGTTAAATAAAAGTTATTAAAAAAATGCAAAATTCTTGATCGTTTCACTAGCTTAAATTACAAGCTTGGGTAGATTTTATAAAAAAAAAAAGAAGTCAGCCATGATTTGGATGAGATCTTGATTAATTCTATATTGATGATATCAGGTTACAATATGTATGAATAAAGAATAAGGAATATGATAAGTTATTATTAGATTTAACCTCCATCCTCAAAGGTTTCCATGTGTTATGGTTACAGAAAGAAATCGTTATATTACACCAATGTAACTTTGTTATGGAATCCATACATAATAATCTTTCTTTGTAACTTCGGTTGATAAAAGGACCTGGGGATTCAAATGAAAATATCTTAATGATATTGCAGAATAGATTAACTTAAAGCTTTATTTCCTACAAATTTGAACATGAAATAAAACAGGAAATTGGCGGAACATCTGATTTTTCTTGAATGACAAGCAAATGGAAATACAGAAATGCTGCAAAATATATAAGTACAAACATGTCAGACAAAGATGTACAAAAAATGTATATTATAGTGAATTTAGTTTAAAAAACACAAATTCTGGATTAGAATGGTACATTTGTACTATAGACTATACATGTAGATCTATCATGAAAAGCCAAAGTGTATTGGAGCTTAAAGTGATTGATTGTCTTTGATTACCCAGTAATGTATACATGGAATACATGAACATGTGGTTAGATTTAGATTCTTCATTTATTAGTGTCAGATCTCAAACAGTAAAAAAAGGAATGTTACTTTGATACAGTATATTTAGGTCACCTCTCTGTTCCTTATGATGGGTTTTACTTTGCCTATGTTTGGGTTTTTACAATTTGTTTCAGAATTTATGTTTTTAAAATAAAGAATGTTTGTCTTCCATGAATGTAAAGTTCTATGAAAGCATTGCAGAGGTAGGATTGAAATTATTTTTAGATATACAGAATCTATGTCCATGTTGGGATGTACATGTGAATATATGGAAGATCTTAAATAAACAAATTTCATGCCTTTTGTTGCTATTGTGTGATTGAACAGAGTACATAGCTGTCAAAAATGTCAGAGGCAATCTTTGATTTTAATTCGCAAACTTGTGTTTTTATGCCCCCGCCGTAGCGGAGGGGCATTAAGTTTTACCCTTGTCCGTCCCAAAATTGGTTTCTGTTCTCTAACTTTAGTTTGCCCCAACCAAATGTTGTGAAACTTATACACAATGCTTATTACCGCAAAACACAGTTTCCATTCTCTAACTTTTACATGTAGTTTGCCTCAACCAAATGTTATGAAACTTATGCACAATGCTAATTATCACAAAACACAGATCAAGTTTGAATTTTGGTGGTGTCACTTTTATTGTTCTATAGTTATGCCCCTTTACAAATGAAAAAATTGCTTGATTTTTTGTTTCCGTTCTTTAACTTAAGTTTGCCTTAACTAGATATTATGAAATGTATACACAATGCTTATTACCACAAAACTCAGATCAAGTACAAATTTGGGACGCTTCACTTTTACAGTTCTTGAGTTATGTCCCTTTATAACATTATATGCAAGGGAGGGCATCATCTACTTCCCCATTTATTTCTTAATGATTGTAAGAACCGTCTTAGGCAGTATAACATGCAAAGTATCCTTAAAAGCTATAAAACCTTCAAGAAATCACATTTTCAACTTCTCTTCTGCCACTTCTCAGCCATTTTCAACAAACTGGTGAATGAATGATCACAAATGATCTATGGCAGAATCTAATTAAATGATTCTCATTTAGTTCTGATCATGGCTGCAAGGGTCAACCTATGACTCTGGTAATATTCAAAAATCTTCTGATGCAACTTTAAGGTGAGATGACTCAGATGTTTTGAAAATTTAGTGCATTGATGACAGCAGTGCCACCCAAACATTTTTTTCAAAGGTATCTTCTTGAGAAGGATAAAGAATAAGATATGATAAGGCCACTTTCTGGAATTGCAGAGGCTCCTTAATTTCTTGGATAAAAAATAATTATAAATCTGCTAAAAACATATTTCAGATGTTCATAGTGACATGAACTAGACAATCAATTATCGGTACAATGTATCGTGTATTTTAAATTTTGTCTTACAAATTTGCATTAGGGCTTCAAACTTCATGAATTTTGTGCAAAATTACAAAAACTGTTAGAACAGCCTTATTTTGACAAGGTTTGATATCTTGTCAAAAATACTTAGACCAGGGTTTTTTAATTTGTTGGTTTACAGATTTTTGTCGAGCCTGCAACATTTATGTTGCAAAAGCAAGACATAGATATCCTAGTTTCTGTCGTCGGCAGCTGAGGCGTCAACATATAGGTTCAGTTTGTGGTTAAATAGCCATCAATAACTTTATAAAACCTTCATGGAATTTTATGAAATTTGGACAGAATCTTGTTTATGACCAAAACACAGTCTCAGAGCAATATTTTGAAAATATTTATTTTTCATTTTTCAGTATTTTAGTGATACAGTTAACATTCAGATTCAGTTTGAGGTTAAAGTTTATCAGTGACCAATAACATTGTCAAACCTTCATGGAATTTTATGAAATTTGTACAGAAGCTTGTTTAATGACCAAACTATAGTATCCAGAGCAAAATTTTGAAAATATTTTTTTTATTTTGTATTTTACGTATACTGATAAAAGGACTTTGTTTTTATTTTTACTGTTAACAAGTAGATACAGTCTGGGGTTAAAGTTTGTTACACATCCATTACTTTGTCAAAGCTTCATAGAGTTTTATGCCTTTACACTTTTACACTGACAGCTGCAGTTGCAGGTGAGACACAGGGTTCCGCGGAACTCCTTTCAAATTTTTTATTTGAAAGATTCAGGTAGGCCGGTTGGGAAATTTTTTTTTACATGATATGAACTTTGTACTTCAGCTTTATTACAAAATTTGTCATTTTTGTCATTTTTATACGACAGCAAAAAATTTTTTGTGGTCGTATATTGGTATGACGTTGTTGTCGTCATCGTCGTTGTCCGAAGACACATTAGTTTTCGCACTCTAACTTAAGTTTAAGTGAATGGATCTCAATGAAATTTTACCATAAGGTTCAATACCACAAAAGGAAGGTGGGGATTGATTTTGGGGGTTATGGTACCAACAGTTAAGGAATTAGGGGCCAAAAATAAGCAATCATTTTTGTAACTTCCAGACATAACTTGTGTGTTAGTGTATGGATCTCTCTGACGTACCACAAGGTTCCATATCACAAAGGGAATGCTTGGATTGATTTTGGGGGTAATTGCCTCCAAATTTTAGGAATTAGGGGCCAAAAAGGGGAAAAAAACAAGCATTTTTCTAGTTTCATGACAATAACTTGTGTGTAAGTGTATGGATCTTTCTGAAATTGTACTACAAGGTTTCATATCACAAAGGGAAAGCTGGAATTGAGTTTGGGGGTTATTGCTCAAACATTTAGGAATTAGGGGCCAAAAAGGGGCCAAAAATAAGCATTTTTCTAGTTTCCAGACAATAACTTGTGTTCAAGTGTATGGATCTCTCTGAAATTGTACTGCAAGGTTCCATATCTCAAAGGGAATGTTTGGATTGATTTTGGGGGTAATTGCCTCAAAATTTTAGGAATTAGGGGTAAAAAAGGGGAAAAAAACAAGCATTTTTCTAGTTTCATGACAATAACTTGTGTGTAAGTCTATGGATCTTCCTGAAATTATACTTAAAGGTTCCATATCACAAAGGGAAAGCTGGAATTGAGTTTGGGGGTAATTGCCCAAAAAGTTTATGAAAAAGGGGCCAAAAATAAGCATTTTTCTAGTTTCCAGACAATAACTTGTGTTCAAGCATATGGATCTCTCTGAAATTATACTGCAAGGTACCATACCACAAAGGGAAGGCTGGGATTGATTTAGGGGTAATTGCCTCAAAAGTTTAGGAATTAGGGACCAAAAAGGGGCAAAAAACAAGCATTTTTCTAGTTTCAGGACAATAACTTGTGTGTAAGTGAATGGATCTTTATGAAACTGTACTACAAGGTTCCATACTACAAAGGGAAAGCTGGGTTTGAGTTTGGGGGTAATTGTCCTAAATGTTTAGGAATATGGGGCCAAAAAGGGGCAAAAAAACAAGCATTTTTCTAGTTTCCAGACAATAACTTGTGTTCAAGTGTATGGAGCTCTATGAAATTGTGCTGCAAGATACCATACCACAAAGGGAAGGCTGGGATTGAGTTTGGGGGTGATGAATCATAAGGGGGTTCAAAAAATTTGGGGGGGATTTTTTTTTCCTTTTTTTTTTTCTTTTAAAATTTTCCATTTTAAATTGGTTATTTCTGATTTATATATAAAAGCAAATAATAATGATATGGTTTGAATAGGTAAATTAATTTTTTTTAAGTTCTTAGACCACATTCATTCTGTGTCAGAAACCTATGCTGTGTCAAATATTTAATCACAATCCAAATATCAGTGCTGTATCAAGCTTGAATGTTGTGTCCATACTTGCCCCAACTGTTCAGGGTTTGACCTCTGCGGTTGTATCAAGCTGCGCCCAGCTGAGCATTTTATTATTCCAGTTAACATTACATACTGTCTGCAGATAAGTTTTTAAAACATTTATTAGATTCATAAACCATCCTGGATTCCTACCAAACTTGAACAGAAGCTTCTTACAATCAAAAGATATTATCTAGAGGAAAATTTTTAATAATTATTTCCCCATTTTTGTTGAGCCTGCTACTAACAGCAAAAGTAGGCGAGACACTGGGTTCCACGGAACCCTTATGAATTTTTCCTTAAATATAAGTCCCGAACATTTTTTCTCAGCTGCTTTAAATGTTTTGCATGTCATCGTCATACAAGTTCTTAAAAATGTATATTTTCAGTATCTGCTGAACGATATGATCCTGCTGATGATGAAGACTTAGACGAAAAAGTAAGTAGAATGAAAAAACTCTTAATAAATCTGGCTTTCAAATCAAATATCTTATTTTACTGTCTGTTTTAATTGAATTTATTAGTTCATTGTTGAAAAGAAAATGACAGATAAAATTGAGACACATAATCATAATGTCTTATTAAACATCTTTGAAGAGTAAGAAGCAGGGTTTCCAAAAAAAGTTATGGCAGCCGCCATAGCAGGATTTTTTTTTATCTGTTTTTAACAGCTTTAGACTTTGTAATTTTAAGCATGTAATTTAATCTAGGTAACCATTAAGGAATTTAGGGCAATGAATTTGGTTGAAACAAATGAAAAAGATTACTTTATACTCTTGATATGGACAGTTACTGGTACATTGATTATAGGTCTGTTAAATGAAAGTGCATAGTCTGATGGGTGGAACACATGTATGCCTTGACTTTTTATTAATGCAATAAAATTAACTTGTTTTAAAAGCACACTTTTGATATACTAGAAGTTGACTCGACTACATTTTGCACCTCTCAAATTATACCACGTAGAGGCATTTCGAATATTGTTCAAATTTCCTATACATGAATTAAAAGATTTTGTGAAGTGTAAGTCATCTGTTTTCTAGCTGTTATGGTTCCTTAGTGTTTGTGTAGTGTAAGACTGTAAGTCATCTGTTTTCTAGCTATTATGGTTCCCAGAGCTCCAGATAAGAATTCACAAATTGGGGTTTTTACCCACCATTTTTTCATGTAATTGGGTGATAAAGTTTTTTAATTGCATTATCAATTCCAATTCACCCCTCAAGCAAATATCAAATTGGGGTTTTCACCACCAAGCTCCTTAATGTATTGGGTTTTTTCATCAACACAATATTGAATATTTAGGCATGTTATAATCACATTATATCAACCCCAGATGTGTTTCCATCTTAAATGTGTTTCTTTCTTTGTAAAATATGTGCTAGCTGTTTTATTTGGTTTTATTCACTGACGAGCAATTGTACATTTAATTTGTGTCCCGTTTTAAACGTTCTGTCAGTTTTGTATTTTCTCAAAACTTATGTAAACTGCAGCTGGTGTCACTAGTTGGACAGGAACTAATTGCCTTTCTAGATCCCATATGATCACCCTACAGTTTAATTATATTTGGGGTTGGTGTGGCTAAGTGTTAGATTTTTGTGTAATATATGTGAAATTTAGGTGCTGTAAGAAAGTTTTGCCAGTCCTTTCACCTATTTGCCAGATCTACTTTTTAATAAAAATAAAAAGTAGTTTCCAGATTTAAGATATACCCCAAAACCTTGAGGTTTATAGGGTGGTTTATAATGACGGAGACCACATTCAACTTAAATTTACAAATAATTCTGCAACATCAAGTAAATAAATGACAATGTTATACTGCACTTGCCAATAAGACAACTATCTTAAGCATCTAGAACAAAACAAAGAAAGTGTCAAGCTGCATTGACGTAAAAAACGGATATATGTTTATTCACTCATCAACTAAAATGAAAAAAATAATATATAAACTGTTTTCGTTTAATTCAATTTACATAAATCTGGGTTAAGTTGTCCCTTATCAGAACTTTTGGTTTCCGATGCTTTCAACTACATATCATGTCATAATTGATTTGGTCTTTCACTTTTTCCAACTGATTTCGTTTTTTGCGTGTTTATCGCTCTAGCAATGTTCTCGTTATGGTACGCAAACACGCCCGTGCGTTCAATGGCCGCTTCCTAAAATCACTAGCTGAGTCTTGTTATCATCATAACTTTCCCTCAGCTACCAAAAAGAAGCCGAAAACATGCTTCTATTCAATATTTTTACCGGACATTTACTTTCGTTTTAATTCATTGTATGTTATGATAAATCCCGAGCAATTCGAAAAAATATGACAGCATGTCACACGCTAATTGGATAAACGCCGAGAAGATCGAAATGTTTTGATAAACACGTGTACCTTTTGAGCAACGGAAAATTCCAACAGGGACCCATTGCAGCTACTTGATGCAGGGCTCTATTTTTAGAACGAAAGGACATTTCCAATTATAAATATTATAAAAATAGATTTACGCGACGACTGTAATCAAGTAAGGGTAAATAACGCAAACGATAGCGAATAAAAGCGTTAAGAACCCATGTTTTTGGCATATAATTGGGTTTTCCTTTGAATTAATTGGGTTATTGAACCCTGCAATGGGCAATTGCATTGGGTTTTTAATTATTTTTATTGCGTGATCACGCAAATACGCAGCTTATCTGGAGCTCTGGGTTCCTTAGTGTTTGTGAAGTGTAAGTCATCTGTTCTCTAGCTGTTATGGTTCCTTAGTGTTTGTGAAGTGTAAGTCATCTGTTCTCTAGATGTTATGGTTCCTTAGTGTTTGTGTAGTGTAAGACTGTAAGTCATCTGTTTTCTAGCTATTATGGTTCCTTAGTGTTTGTGAAGTGTTAAGTCATCTATTCTCTAGCTGTTATGGTTCCTTAGTGTTTGTGAAGTGTAAATCATCTGTTCTCTAGATGTTATGGTTCCTTAGTGTTTGTGTAGTGTAAGACTGTAAGTCATCTGTTCTCTAGCTATTATGGTTCCTTAGTGTTTGTGAAGTGTAAGTCATCTGTTCTCTAGCTGTTATGGTTCCTTAGTGTTTGTGAAGTGTAAGACTGTAAGTCATCTGTTTTCTAGCTATTATGGTTCCTTAGTGTTTGTGAAGTGTAAGTCATCTGTTCTCTAGCTGTTATGGTTCCTTAGTGTTTGTGAAGTGTAAGTCATCTGTTCTCTAGATGTCATGGTTCCTTAGTGTTTGTGTAGTGTAAAACTGTAAGTCATCTGTTCTTTAGCTATTATGGTTCCTTAGTGTTTGTGTAGTGTAAGACTGTAAGTCATCTGTTCTCTAGCTATTATGATTCCTTAGTGTTTGTGAAGTGTAAGTCATCTGTTCTCTAGATGTTATGGTTCCTTAGTGTTTGTGAAGTGTAAGACATCTGTTCTCTAGCTGTTATGGTTCCTTAGTGTTTGTGTAGTGTAAGACTGTAAGTCATCTGTTCTCTAGCTATTATGGTTCCTTAGTGTTTGTGAAGTGTAAGTCATCTGTTCTCTAGCTGTTATGGTTCCTTAGTGTTTGTGAAGTGTAAGTCATCAGTTCTCTAGATGTTATGGTTCTTTAGTGTTTGTGTAGTGTAAGACTGTAAGTCATCTGTTTTCTAGCTATTATGGTTCCTTAGTGTTTGTGAAGTGTAAGTCATCTGTTCTCTAGCTGTTATGGTTCCTTAGTGTTTGTGAAGTGTAAGTCATCTGTTCTCTAGATGTCATGGTTCCTTAGTGTTTGTGTAGTGTAAGACTGTAAGTCATCTGTTCTTTAGCTATTATGGTTCCTTAGTGTTTGTGTAGTGTAAGACTGTAAGTCATCTGTTCTCTAGCTATTATGGTTCCTTAGTGTTTGTGAAGTGTAAGTCATCTGTTATCTAGCTGTTATGGTTCCTTAGTGTTTGTGTAGTGTAAGACTGTAAGTCATCTGTTTTCTAGCTATTATGGTTCCTTAGTGTTTGTGAAGTGTAAGTCATCTGTTCTCTAGCTGTTATGGTTCCTTAGTGTTTGTGAAGTGTAAGTCATCTGTTCTCTAGATGTCATGGTTCCTTAGTGTTTGTGTAGTGTAAGACTGTAAGTCATCTGTTCTTTAGCTATTATGGTTCCTTAGTGTTTGTGTAGTGTAAGACTGTAAGTCATCTGTTCTCTAGCTATTATGGTTCCTTAGTGTTTGTGAAGTGTAAGTCATCTGTTATCTAGCTGTTATGGTTCCTCAGTGTTTGTGTAGTGTAAGACTGTAAGTCATCTGTTCTCTAGCTATTATGGTTCCTTAGTGTTTGTGAAGTGTAAGACATCTGTTCTCTAGCTGTTATGGTTCCTTAGTGTTTGTGAAGTGTAAGACTGTAAGTCATCTGTTTTCTAGCTATTATGGTTCCTTAGTGTTTGTGTAGTGTAAGTCATCTGTTCTCTAGCTGTTATGGTTCCTTAGTGTAGTGTAGTGTAAGACTGTAAGTCATCTGTTCTTTAGCTATTATGGTTCCTTAGTGTTTGTGTAGTGTAAGACTGTAAGTCATCTGTTTTCTAGCTATTATGGTTCCTTAGTGTTTGTGTAGTGTAAGTCATCTGTTCTCTAGCTATTACGGTTCCTTAGTGTTTGTGAAGTGTAAATCATCTGTTCTCTAGCTGTTATGGTTCCTTAGTGTTTGTGTAGTGTAAAACTGTAAGTCATCTGTTCTTTAGCTGTTATGGTTCCTTAGTGTTTGTGTAGTGTAAGACTGTAAGTCATCTGTTCTCTAGATGTTATGGTTCCTTAGTGTTTGTGTAGTGTAAGACTTTAAGTCATCTGTTCTTTAGCTGTTATGGTTCCTCAGAGTTTGTGAAGTGTATGTCATCTGTTTTCTAGCTATTATGGTTCCTTAGTGTTTGTGAAGTGTAAGTCATCCTTTCTAGCTGTTATGGATCCTCAGAGTTTTTGTAGTGTAAGTCATCTGTTCTCTAGCTGTTATGGTTCCTTAGTGTTTGTGTAGTGCAAGTCATCTGTTCCCTAGCTTTTATGGTTCCTTAGTGTTTGTGAAGTGTAAGTGAGCTGTTCTTACATACTAGTTTTCAATCTGAAGTCGTATAAATTATTTGTAATAGGGAACTTTTTGAGAACAAAAAGACTTAAATATAGAATTTATATAAATAAAAGTAAATCAGAAATTACCTGCCAACTCCATCCTGTATACCAGTTTGATTAAAAATATATAAAGTACATGCATATCTAGTAAATTAGCAGCCAACCATTTACTTACATGTATATAATTGAGTAAATAAATAGAATATCAAACGTCATATGAAATAAATGAATTCATAATTCTATAGTTACATTCTGATCAATATCTTTAGGTAATCAAAGTATTTCATTATTCCAAGAAATCAGTGGGATTCTGAAAAAGAATGTTTAATTGATAAGATTTTCGGTAAATAATTAATATTTTCGAAATGTCAGATAAATTGAGATATATACATAAACAGCTCATTTTTAGCTCACCTGACCTGAAAGGTCAAGTGAGCTTTTCTCATCACTTTGCGTCCGTCGTCCGTCGTCCTGCGTCCGTCGTCCGTCGTCCGTAAACTTTTACAAAAATCTTCTCCTCTGAAACTACTGGGCCAAATTTAACCAAACTTGGCCACAATCATCATTGGGGTATCTAGTTTTAAAAATGTGTGGCGTGACCCGGTCAACCAACCAAGATGGCCGCCACGGCTAAAAATAGAACATAGGGGTAAAATGCAGTTTTTAGCTTATAACTCAAAAACCAAAGCATTAAGAGCAAATCTGACATGGGGTAAAATTGTTCATCAGGTCAAGATCTATCTGCCCTGAAATTTTCAGATGAATCGGACAACCCGTTATTGGGTTGCTGCCCCTGAATTGGTAATTTTAAGGAAATTTTGCTGTTTTTGGTTATTATCTTGAATATTATTATAGACAGAGATAAACTGTAAACAGCAATAATGTTCAGCAAAGTAAGATTTACAAATAAGTCAATATAACCGAAATGGTCAGTTGACCCCTTTAGGAGTAATTGCCCTTTATAGTCAATTTTTAACCATTTTTCGTAAATCTTAGTAATCTTTTACAAAAATCTTCTCCTCTGAAACAACTGGGCCAAATTAAACCAAACTTGGCCACAATCATCATTGGGGTATCTAGTTTAAAAAATGTGTGGCGTGACCCGGCCAACCAACCAAGATGGCCGCCACAGCTAAAAATAAAACATAGGGGTAAAATGCAGTTTTTGGCTTATAACTCAAAAACCAAAGCATTTAGAGCAAATCTGACATGAAGTAAAATTGTTTATCAGGTCAAGATCTATCTGCCCTGAAATTTTCAGATGAATCGAACAACCTGTTGTTGGGTTGCTGCCCCTGAATTGGTAATTTTAAGGAAATTTTGCTGTTTTTGGTTATTATCTTGAATATTATTATAGATAGAGATAAACTGTAAACAGCAATAATGTTCAGCAAAGTAAGATTAACAAATAAGTCAACATGACTGAAATGGTCAGTTGACCCCTTTAGGAGTTATTGCCCTTTATAGTCAATTTTTAACAATTTTTCGTAAATCTTAGTAATCTTTTACAAAAATCTTCTCCTCTGAAACTCCGTGGCCAAATTAAACCAAACTTGGCCACAATCATCATTTGGTTATTTAGTTTTAAAAATGTGTGGAGTGACCTGGTCAACCAACCAAGATGGCCGCCACGGCTAAAAATAGAACATAGGGGTAAAATTCAGTTTTTGGCTTTTAACTCAAAAACCAAAGCATTTAAAGCAAATCTGACATGAAGTAAAATTGTTTATCAGGTCAAGATCTATCTGCCCTGAAATTTTCAGATGAATCGGACAACCCGTTATTGGGTTGCTGCCCCTGAATTGGTAATTTTAAGGAAATTTTGCTGTTTTTGGTTATTATCTTGAATATTATTATAGATAGAGATAAACTGTAAACAGCAATAATGTTCAGCAAAGTAAGATTTACAAATAAGTCAATATAACCGAAATGGTCAGTTGACCCCTTTAGGAGTAATTGCCCTTTATAGTCAATTTTTAACCATTTTTCGTAAATCTTAGTAATCTTTTACAAAAATCTTCTCCTCTGAAACAACTGGGCCAAATTAAACCAAACTTGGCCACAATCATCATTTGGTTATCTAGTTTTGAAAATGTGTGGCGTGACCTGGTCAACCAACCAAGATGGCCACCACGGATAAAAATAGAACATAGGGGTAAAATTCAGTTTTTGGCTTTTAACTCAAAAACCAAAGCATTTAAAGCAAATCTGACATGAAGTAAAATTGTTTATCAGGTCAAGATCTATCTGCCCCTGAAATTTTCAGATGAATCGGACAACCCGTTGTTGGGTTGCTGCCCCTGAATTGGTAATTTTAAGGTGATTTTGCTGTTTTTGGTTATTATCTTGAATATTATTATAGATAGAGATAAACTGTAAAAAACAATAAATGTCGGCAAAGTAAGATCTACAAATAAGTCAACATGACCGAAATTGTCAGTTGACCCCTTTAGGAGTTATTGCCCTTTATAGTCAATTTTTAACCATTTTTTCGTAAATCTTAGTAATCTTTTACAAAAATCTTCTCCTCTGAAACTACTGGGCCAAGTTAATTATAGATAGAGATAATTGTAAGCAGGAAAAATGTTCAGTAAATTAAGATGTACAAACACATCACCATCACCAAAACACAATTTTGTCATGAATCCATCTGCGTCCTTTGTTTAATATTCACATAGACCAAGGTGAGCGACACAGGCTCTTTAGAGCCTCTAGTTGATTTTCACGTTTAATTAACGAACAGTTTTACATAGTTAATAATATTATTGAAATATTGTATCAATTGCCCCCTTTTTTTTTTATAGATTTATGCATTTGTGTTATTGCAGGTTGTATATCCAAAAACAGATGACCAGAGACAAAGACTTAATGAAGCTGTGAAACACATTTTATTATTTAGATCATTAGAACCAGTAAGTAGTAATTTGTGATTTTAAAGTAAATAGTAAACATGCTTTAGGTTTTCTATTGCATTGTTTCCATGATTTCAAGAGTAAACTGAGGAGAAATGACAACATAGCCATTGGTTTAAGGGTAGTATGGATTCATCAAATTTCATGATTAATACCAAATTTTCTTGGTTTGGCAGAAAGTATTTGTTTGAAGGGTGCTGTATATCCTAGTTAGTTGTGTCCTCAGTGTGAACTGTTCTATACTTGTACCATAATTAACCATATGATTGCAAAAGAAATGTTATTAGTACTAAAGTTACATCATTACTTCTGTCAACTTCAGATTTGCACCAGCTTAAAAAACCTGCTGTAATTTCATCTGATGAATTGCCATTGCAAATGGATAACTAGCTTTTAAATTCATTATTGATAAACCATGGTATTGAATGAAAAATTATGGTCATCACTATGCATAAATAGGTCATTAATGACTGGTACAGTAATAAACTCTACACTAAATTCTTTGTATTTTACAATTTAAAGAGACCCAGTCAAGAGCAGCCATTGTCCTTTTAAATTAATAACTGATATTATGGCTGTCCTTATGGAAATTTATCTTTTGATGAAGACCTAATGGTTTTGTGATTATCAACTTTACTCAGCTAACTATGTATGGAAAACACATTAAATCGTTCTCTGTGTTTATGCATGGCAGTAAAATTAAGGAAGCTAGTCTAATGTGTTTCAGATAGATAGATGTCAGCAGTTCGCTTTTCTTGTCCTGTATCATGCAATTTATTCTGAAAAATGATTGTTATGGCTTGCAGGCATGTTTTTGAAGGTTAAATGTGGGTGGTTATATTCTCAGTTACAGAAGGTAGATGAGTTTATTGAATAGTTCTTAACAAATAGATGTGCAGAATGCAAAATCCTTTGAATAAATGTTAGTGACATTTAATTCAGGCATACAATGTGGAAATAATATGCAATCTATTTTAGTTTTTTGATTTCTAAATGATTTTCATGTTTTGTCAGGTTGTCAGAAAACTTGTTCATTAACATGATTAAGGTGATGGAAAATTGGAATTTTCTAACTGTAATTTTGACATAGATATTGTTTGGGTAACTTTTGCATGACAAATGACTCACATGACTATAATTTCAATAAGGACTATCCCATTGATATAAATGCTGGAGTGTTGTTGGTTGCGGATGGAATTTTTAAGTCCCTTCTTCCTTACCTTCCACATCCATTTGAATGAAATAGCCCTAAGTGGAGATACATGGTAAAAAATATATGCCAAAAGCTGCAATCCAACTAATAAGATAGATAAGAATAGAAGGCGTGCCAAAGGTTAACATGCACAACTGACCAGTCCATATGTTAAACTCTGAATTTAGATTTAAGGTAGATCAGGTGTCTTTTTCTGAGCATCCCTTCTGGGCATGTTGCAAAAATACTTTTTTGGTTTAAAATGTTTTCCCAAGTATCATTCAATATACTACAGAAACATCTAAAACTTGAAATTTAAAGATTAAACTATAAAAAAAAGAATTGTTGTTATTATTTTCAGAAAAAATCCTTTTAAAATCAAGGGCAAAAATACATTGAATTTCATAGGACAATTTGTGTGTGTTTTTTTATTTTTTTAAGGAATAAAGGCCTGTGACCCCTATTTTTATTTGATATTTCAGAAGTATTCATGCAAAGCAATTTTCTCATTGAATTTTTACCAATTGTATCGTTTTAAAAATGTTTCCTCAAAAAGGCAAAAATTAAGTTTCACCTATATATAACCCATATAAACTGCGGTTTTCTTTAATTTCAATGTATTTTAACAAAAAAAAAGGTCTGTGACCCCCAGGTTTTATTGTCGAGCCGTCGCAGAAAGCTCGACATAGGGATAGTGATCCGGCGACGGCGCCTACGTCGGCGGCGTCAGCTTACTTCTTAAAAGCTTTATATTTTAGAAGCTAGAAGACCTGGATGCTTCAAACTTTGTATATAGATGCCTTATGTTACGAAGTTTCCGTCTGTCATATGTCCATTGTCCTTGACCTCATTTTCATGGTTCAGTGACTACTTGAAAAAAAAGTCAACATTTTTTGTAATGTTAATTTCTTTCTTATTATGAGTAATAGGATAACTATATTTAGTATGTGCGTACCTTGCAAGGTCCTCATGCCCGTCAGACAATTTTCATTTGACCTCGACCTCATTTCATGGATCAGTGAACAAGGTTAAGTTTTCGTGGTCAAGTCCATATATCAGATACTATAAGCAGTAGGTCTACTATATTTGGTATATTGAATGATTGTAAGGTGTACATGTCCAACTGGTAGGTGTCATCTGACCTTGACCTCATTTTCATGGTTCAGTGGTCAAAGTTAAGTTTTTGAGTTTTGGTCTTTTTTTCTAATACTATATGCAATAGGTCAACTATAAATGGTGTATGGAAATATTTTATGATGTACATGTCAGTCTCACAGGTTTTATTTGACCTTGACCTCATTTTCACGGTTCATTTCTCAGTGTTAATTTTTTGTGTTTTGGTCTGTTTTTCTTCAACTATTAGCAATAGATCAACTATATTTGATGTATGGAAGGATTGTAAGGTGTATATGTCTGTCTGGCAGGTATCATCTGATCTTGACCTCATTTTCATGGTTCATTGGTCAATGTTAAGTTTTCATGGTTAAGTTTGTTTCATAGATACTATAAGCAATAGGTCAACTATATTTAATGCCTAAATTGATTGTAAGGTATACATGTCTGTCTGGCATGGTTCATCTGACCTTGACCTCATTTTCATGGTTCATTGGTCAATGTTAAGTTTTCTTGTTTAAGACTGTTTCTTAGAAACAATAAGAAATAGGTCAACTATGTTTGGTTTATTGAATGATTGTAAGGTGTACATGTATTTCTCATTGGGTTTATCTGACCTTGACCTCATTTTCTTGGATCATGTTAAGCTTTGTATTTAGGACTATCAACATAAAATCAATGGTTAGTAAAGAAGGCGAGACATTTCAGCATGTGCACTCTTGTATTGAAATTTGAAAGTACATTGACCAAGAAGTCTTTTACAGAAGTTTAGCCAAAAAAATTATCGTCAAACATTAAGACACCCCAGCTACCTTAAGACTTAAGAAGTAATTCACATTATTGTTATAAACAAAAGTAAACTTAAACATCTGCAACATTGACAACTTCTGTAAATTCAGAAATTATTGCAATGTTTTTTTTATAGTGAAAAATGCGACAGGGTTATAATCGCAATAATCTGAACTCTCATTTTGAAATTTCTGATATGAATTAAACAGGATTTTTCTCAATATCGCATAAATTAAAATCTCATTTTAGTCTAAAATGACGAAATCGCAATAATAAATGAACGCAATTATTTCTGAATTTACAGTATATAGAATGCTTGGTTATAATTATGCCCCCGCTGTAGCGGTGGGGGCATTAAGTTTTATCCTTGTCCATCCATACGTACGTATGTAGGTACGTCCCAAAATTGGTTTACGTTCTCTAACTTTAGTTTGCCTCAAACAAATGTTATGAAACTTATACACAATGCTTATTACCACATAACACAGATCAAGTTTGAATTTTGGTGGCATCACTTTTACTGTTCTAGAGTTATGCCCCTTTACAAATGGAAAAATTGCTGAATTTTTCGTCTGTTCTCTAACTTTAGTTTGATTCAAACAAATGTAATGAAACTTATATGCAATGTTTATTACCACAAACACAGATCAAGTTTGAATTTTGGTGGCCTCACTTTTACTGTAATTTAGTTATGGCCTTTACAAATGGAAAAATTGCTGAATTTTTCGTTTTTGTTTTCTAACTCAAGTTTGTCTCAAGCAAATGTTATGAAACTTATACACAATGCTTATTACAACAAAACTCAGATCAAGTAAAATTTGGGTAGTTTCACTTTTACCATTCTGAAGTTATGTCCCTATATAACGTTATATGCAGGGGGCGGTGGGGGGGGGGGGGGGGGGGGTCATCTGTGTCCCATGGACACATTCCCCATTTATTTTCTGTTCTTTATAATGTTAAGAAGCAAGTTTCATTTAGAAATTTAGAAAGAAACCACTAAACATAATTCATGACAGAAATTGTAATCAAGTCCATCCAATTTCAAGTTTAAATAGATTCAACTTTCCCAAATGACTGTATCAGTATATTCACAAAATTTATACCAAAGAAATGAGGTTCAATTTCACTAATTACTTAATAAGTCTGACCAGTACGAGTTGTTTACATTTTTATTTAATCCTTATGTCGCCTTGTTTCTTATTAAATGTATGAGGTGGATTTTAGTTCTATGGGATTATATGGGGTATAAACTGGATATGGGTTTACGACCACTTAAGAATTGTATTCTAACCAAGTTAATGTGCAAATTGTTAATGTGCACATATAAGATCATTGAATGTATATATATTTTATTTTATTTTGTTGATGCAGCTAATCAAAATTAACGCAAATACTTTCATTTTGAAGAATTTTATGAAATGTTAATGTCTGGTTAAGGTGACTAAGGTCACTAACATGATTTAACAGATTATCTTATAATCCACAGGATTTGTTTATAAGAATCAGTAGTTAATTAAATATGGGTTCCTTAATTATGTTAATTATAAATAAGAAATTCAGGACTTTTTATACGTTCAGTTGAAGTTGTTGACATTGTATCCTGTTTTCTACAAATAAAGTGTTTAGAATGTAGCAAGTTATTAATATGATGTATGCCTTATAAATAGCTTTTGTCTGAACTCCATTGAAAGTAGTATGGATGCTTATCTCATGGTAAAACAAAAGTGGCCTTGGCATTACTGTAATATTTAAAACTTTTTTTTTAAGCCGTACTTAAACTTAATATATAAAGCTTTTCTGAAAGAGCCACATTAATCATTAAGTACTCCAGTACCTTAATAGCTGACACTCATAAACTGATATTGTAATATCATCTAATATTGTGCAAGAAATTTTTGAATTCCAAGACTTTTTGATAGATCCCAAAGAACTTTGGATGAGAAGTTAATATGAAATTCAAATTTCAATACATGGTTTCAGTTAAATGTGATAGTTATTAAAAGAGTTAATTGATCAAGTTTAGGTATATTTAGAAGAACAGAAAAAGAAAAATTGCTATTAGTAATTGCCTTTACTATATTATTTGAAAAAAATATATTAATTTTTTTTAAATAATACATTTTGTATTTGATTACCTAAACTATATATATGTTAAACAGACATGTATTTAAAAAAAATGTCAGATTTGCTCTAGAAAGAAACCATTGCTGCTTGGCCATAATATTCAATTCAATACACTGTATGCACTAATACCTTCTATTTGCCAATTGCATCTATAAGTTGGTTAGTAATAACAGTTTGTGATAATGCCCAACCATGAACCCATTTTCATACCCTTTGCAATCACAACAATCTGTCAGAATATACATATTATTAAGTATGAATGCAAACATAAAAAAGTAGCCAATTATATGTAGTGATACAGGTTAAGACTGGGTTTTTATACGACTGCAACAAAATTTTGCGGTCGTATATTGGTATGATGTCGTCGTCCGAAGACACATTGGTTTTCACACTCTAACTTTAGTTTAAGTGAATGGATCTCTATGAAATTTTACCATAAGGTTCAATACCACAAAGGGAATGCTGGGATTGATTTTGGGGGTTATGGTACCAATAGTTAAGGAATAAGGGGGCCAAAAATAAGCATTTTTGTAACTTCCAGACATAACTTGTGTGTTAGTGTATGGATCTCTCTGACATTGTACCACAAGGTTCCATATCACAAAGGGAATGCTGGGATTGATTTTGGGGGTAATTGCCTCCAAATTTTAGGAATTAGGGGGCAAAAAACAAGCATTTTTCTAGTTGCATGACAATAACTTGTGTGTAAGTGTATGGATCTCTCTGACATTGTACCACAAGGTTTAATATCACAAAGGGAATGCTGGGATTGATTTTGGGTGTAATTACCTTCAAATTTTAGGAATTAGGGGCCAAAAAGGAGCAAAAAACAAGCATTTTTCTAGTTTCATGACAATAACTTGTGTGTAAGTGTATGGATCTTTATGAAATTGTACTGCAAGGTTCCATATCGCGAAGAGAAAGCTGGAATTGAGTTTGGGGGTAATTGGCAAAAAAGTTTAGGAATAAGGGGCCAAAAATAAGCATTTTTCTAGTTTCCAGACAATTACTTGTGTTCAAGAGTATGGATCTCTCTGAAATTGTACTGTAAGGTACCATACCACAAAGGGAAGGCTGGGATTGATTTTGGGGGTAATTGCCTCAAAATTTTAATAATTAGGGGCCATAAAGGGGCAAAAAAACAAGCATTTTTCCAGTTTCAGGACAATAACTTGTGTGTAAGTGTATTGATCTTTATGAAATTGTACTGCATGGTTCCACATCACAAAGGGAAAGCGTGGTTTGAGTTTGGGAGTAATTGCCCTTAACGTTTAGGAATTTGGGGCCAAAAAGGGGCCATGATGAATAAGGGGGTTCAAAAAATTTGGGGGGGGGGGGATTTTTTTTTCCTTTTTTTCTTTAAAATTTTCCATTTTAAATTGGTTATTTCTGATTTATATATAAAAGCAAATAATAATGATATGGTTTGAATTGGTAAATTAAAAATTTTTAAGTTCTTAGACCACATTCATTCTGTGTCAGAAACCTATGCTGTGTCAAATATTTAATTACAATCCAAATTCAGTGCTGTATCAAGCTTGAATGTTGTGTCCATACTTGCCCCAACTGTTCAGGGTTCGACCTCTGCGGTCGTATCAAGCTGCGCCCCAGCGGAGCATTTTATTGTCTTGTAATTTAGGAAAAATAACCTACAATTCTTTGAAAGAATTTTAAAACATCTGAATTTCTAATGATATCCTTGTGTAAAAAGTAACTTTTTGATTTGTTTTGTAGGAACAGATGCAAGAGGTGTTAGATGCAATGTTTGAAAAAAAGGTGTGTATTTATTTTATGTTGTTACTGAAAGACTGGTTTTTCTACAACTTTAAAATAAAGGAATAACTCTACTTAAGATATATCTGTAAGTTTGATCGCTGAACCTTAAATGTTATATTGGCTTCCAAACAAATTATTCAAGAAATAACTTCTTGCGTCATTTGGGTCGATTACAAATCATATTTTCATTGACTTGTTCAGTTAAAATTATAGTATCAATGACCAAAATTAAGTAATAAATGTGATCTGAACATTGGAAATTACGATAATCATATCAGCTTGTGCAAATTACCAGATATGGTGTGTAAGTTATTATCCGACTTGAAGAGTTTCTAGATTTTGTTGATACCCACAAAACAAAATAGAATTCTTACCCCACAGTGACTATATTTTTTTAGGACTGGATGAAGGAAACATGACATTTTTTTTGCCTGATTAAATTGTGTCAGACTCGGACAATGAATTAGAGAACTTTGTCAAGTTTAATATGCAATTAATCAATTACTCCTGATCATCTTCCTTAAAAGTCAGATTTAAATGTTATCAGCGAATACTGCTGAGTTGGTATTCTAGTCTTTTTGATGTTGCTTTAATTTACACTGAGTGTAATGAATATAAGATACTAAAGTGGCAATAATAAATCACACGTTAATGAAGGACATACAACTCCTTGATGCATGGCACCAGGCCTTATCTAGTTATGCCATACAGTGGACAAGTTCTGTACTTGATTGCAAATGAACAAGTGTTGGGTTGTTTGATTTTTTTTGGACTTTAAGGATATACTTAGGTCAGGTTTAGGAATTTGTGTCAGATGTTTGGACTCCTTGGTTATTTTCCTACAATACAGGGTAAAATATTTTGCCCACAACCCCCATTTTTCTTTTCATATACGACTTCAATAGCTCATAAAGGTCATTTACCAAAATTTAAGCAGATTCTAGATTTCTTTTCTTTCGATTTGAGACCCAAATAATACCAATGCAAATATAAGGTAAAAGTCTGAGTCGGCTTTTTCCTGCGTTTTTTTTTTAAATCAAATATCTCAAAAAGGAGCTCCATAACCTATCAATATATTTAGCTTATTTCGTCCTTAACTAATGGTCTTCCGACTTAAAGTATCAATTTTAAATTCTAGATTTTTTTTTAATTTCACCTAATTACATCCTTAGAAAAAGCATTTCTTCTTATGGGTTAAATAATGGTTCATAGTATTTTCACTACTTTTATGGGACTAATTATACCCCAGGCAATAAAGTTGCATAGGGTTTAATGTTTTGTAACCTGTTCATCGGTCTGTCTGTGTGTCTAACTATTCACCAGTCTGTCAATTGTATAGAATGCATAAAAAATCAGTGTCAGAGTAATGTTCTTGTCTTTTGACTTTCATTTTTCCTGATGTCCAAAACTATTAACATAACCTGTCACATCACCCATTTACTGCAATAGCTCTTGAAATGATCTTACAGCAAATTGTTTAACATTACAGTGCTGTATGCAAAAATTCCACTAATCTATTTTGGATCAGAACTTTACTAGAGACAATGAATAACTTTAGTAAACAAGTGGTGTTTCTATAGAAACCCTTAATTATGAAGTTCTATTGGAAGTCATGATTGAAGATTCACTTATATTTTAGTTTCATTAGGTATACCAATAATTCAATACATGTATATATATTCTTTATATATATATAAAGTCTCTGATTGATTGTATATAATAAAAACTATAACACAAGTTTCCATACGTTTTGGCCATTACGGCCTTCTTCATTGGAATAGTTTACAACATTGAAACAACAATTACATCGCTTGGATACATTACGTTACAATTACTACTATGATGTTCATTTGCCACGTTTTTTTCTTTTAATAAATATATGTATAGAATAAAGGATTGGTGTTTTTCGGATTAAATTTATAGAAGAGTTTTGGTATAATAATTGTCTCTTTACATTTTTTGTGATTTTGATGGGTTAATTTCTGAATCTGAGTATGATAATCACTTCTCCCTATTCTAATGGAAGAATAAATTCTAGATTAGGCCCTGTAATCGTACTCAAAATTTTTATGAGTGTAAGGCCTGGAGTTACAGGGCTTCAATGGTCAAAATAAGTAGGGCATTCGAGGCACAATTGTTTATTAAATTTATTATTATATATATTTATCACACCTCTGGTAAATTAATGACATTATGATAGGTTTAACGCTGCCACATGGTCACGTGGTGACCCCCTATGGATCTGTATGAGGTCAATAGATTTCATACTGGGTGAACATGATTTATTATATATATATATATATATAGGTTTGAAGTTTCTGTCATAGGTTATTTGTCTTTTAACAACATTTTCTTGGTTCAATTACTTATTAAAGTCAATGTAAAGTCTTTTGCCTAGGTCAGTTTTGTAGTTACTGCAACTTTCAAGTAATATTTCAACTGTAACTATATAACTATAATATCAGTCACAATCAATCATTCAGGGGAACATTATTTCCTTCTACTCTTATTTGTTTATTTGATGTATTGTGAAAGTGAAATGTCTGCCATGTAGTTAAGAAGGATAAAGAAACTGAAGAAGGCCAGTGGTCAAAACGTCTTAAAAAATGGTGTAATTACGACAATAAGGAAACTATAATTGTTCTTCAGAATCATTTTTGGTGTACATGTCTGTTTCTGACCAGGGTTCATCTTAATTTGACCTCATTTTCCTTTATTTTTTTACTAGCATTGAGTGTAGTAATAAGATTATTTCTAAATAAGGTTTTTTGTTAGACCTAATTTCTAGAGCCAATCATATGATTGCAATGGCCCTTTGAAGTTTGAGACATATGATTTGACCTTGATCTCATAACTTTTAACACATTGATCAGTGACAATCAATCAATCATTCAGGTGAAACATTATTTCCTTCTATTTTGTTTGTTTGATGTATTGTGAAAAGTTCTAAAAGATCTTCTTCAATGACCAAAAAGACCAATACATCAAATGACAGTCAAAACAATGCTGTGACAGTAATTAAAGTAGGTTTGACAAATATCAACTTTCCTTTTAATCTCATTAGTGAGTATTAGTCCAAAATGTATAATAAAACATAATCTGTAGCTGAAGGGTAGGTTGAATGACGGTATATATTGATATCAGGTCAAAATAAAGTAAAATCAGGGTTGTAATACGAAGGACAGGAAAAAAAACTTATAACAACTGTGAAGCTTGTTACAACTTTGATTTTGGTCTAATTTGTTAGTTTTTCACGTATCCAGAATCAAGCAATGAACTGCATTGCCAAATCAATTTTTCTCTTTAGTAATGCTATAGATCATGAGGAAATTGAATTGTATGTTAATCTCTTATTGATGACAATGCCTTATGAAGGTATTCAACTTTATCACTTTACTTTGACTTTTAATCTCCTTTGAAAAAGACAGGTAGGACTGAAGTATTAAATGCATTCTTACTATAAGAATGTATCCAAGGGTCCTGTTATTGGGCTAATACTATTTACATTAAACATTGATTTAAGTGATAAATTGTAAATACATGTGAACAACCTTACAATTTAAACCGGTTCACCTTAATTTATTTCTCATTTCCTATTTTCAGTTTTGAAAGTCATAAACAAACAACAGTTTGGAAATCCTTATATAATACAAAGCTTAATAAATATTTATTCTTTATGAATTTTAATGTTCTGTTCACCATTTAAGTAAATTTATATTGCTGTACATTCAGAAATCATTGATATTTTATTAAGTCTCCCAAACGAAGTTTGGGAAGACTTATTGTTTTTGCTCAGTTCTTATTAAGTCTCCCAAACGAAGTTTGGGAAGACTTATTGTTTTTGCTCAGTTCTTATTACTGTAAATTCAGAAATTATTGCGATGTTTTTATTTTTGCGAAAAATGCGACAAGGTTACTATCGCAATAATTTAAACTCGCATTTTGAATTTTTTTATATGAAATGAACAGGATATTTCTAAATATCGCAAAAATTTAAATCGCATTTTAATCTAAAATGACAAAATCGCAATAATAAATACACGCAATAATTTCTGAATTTACAGTATTATTATTATTCTTCTTCCTCTTCCTCTTCCTCTTCCACCGCTTTTAAATTTGAACTTGTCCGCACCCGTTCTCCAAAACCGCTTGTCAGATTAACTTGGGGTTTCACAATATGTTAGACTAACATGTCTAGTGGTGCAATCAGGGTTTTGTTTGTGCAATGGGGTTTATTAAGGGGTACTTTGAGGGGCAAAAAGAAAAGAGGGTTTTACTATAGAACCCAATGGGATTTTATTTTTTTAAATTTTCAAATGATTATAAATTGAAAACCGTTTGTAATAGACACAATCTTTTTAATTGAAAATGTTCTAAATGATAAAACCCATTAAATGAAATACAGGGTTAGTCCCCAGGGGTCATCCCCACCCCCTGCCATTTAAGAAAGTTCTAATACCTTGTAAGTGGTCAAGATCCCCACCCCTAAACCATATATATTCTGGTTTGTCATGCTAAGATGGTTTGAATGATATACAGGGTTAGTCCCCAGGGGTCATCCTGACCCCCTGCCATTTGAGAAAGTTCTAATATCTTGTAAATGGTCGAGATCCCCACCCCTAAACCATATATATTCTGGTTTGTCATGCTAAGATGGTTTGAATGATATACAGGGTTAGTCCCCAGGGGTCATCCCGACCCCCTGCCATTTGAGAAAGTTCTAATATCTTGTAAATGGTCGAGATCCCCACCCCTAAACCATATATATTCTGGTTTGTCATGCTAAGATGGTTTGAATGATATACAGGGTTAGTCCCCAGGGGTCATCCCGACCCCCTGCCATTTGAGAAAGTTCTAATATCTTGTAAATGGTTGAGATCCCCACCCCTAAACCATATATATTCTGGTTTGTCATGATAAAGCACATCAAATGAAATACAGGGTTAGTCCTCAGGGGTCACCCCCACCCCCTGCCATTTAAGAAAGTTCTAATATCTTCT